GCGGGTTTAGGACCCAATACGACTAAGAAGTAATCAACGGCCATGCCTCCAAGAAAAAGAAATGACACTGCAAATCAAGGTAGCCAAACGGAGAAAAACACCACGCATCCGACCAACGGCGGGAGTGGAGGAGGTCAGCTCGACCAGGGAAACCAACCCCCGGTAAGGGATGAAGCCCCACCCCCGGATATGCCACAACTTGACTCGGTACAGATGCAGGCCCAGCTGAACGCTCTGACCGACTTGGTTCGAGGATTGATGACCGCCGTCGAGCCAATGGACGGGAAAAACTCCATGCCTCTTCTAAAGGATGCCCCGAGACCACCGGGAGCCGCCATAGCTGGGAACCAAAATACTGGTGACCAATAAGGTGCCCCGAAAGGGATTAAGGAGAGTAAAAATGCTAGGGGAGATAACCCGAGGCCTCGACCGTCCAAGTCCCTCAGCAGCCGACAAAGGGCTGCCAGGGGACGAGCCCAAGAGAAAAGAGCAATCATAGGTCTGGAGAACCCTGAAGCACCACCTCGAAATCCAGGTAAGAATATCCCGGGAGATTTGGGGTCGGTGCAAGAAGGCGGAGACCTAAGAAATAAGCTGGATGCCAGGAAGGCAGTAGCCTCAAAAGGGGCCAGCTCTGCAATCTCAACGGAGGAGGCAAAAGCCATTATGGAGCGCGTGATGAGCTTATAAGAAAAGTTCACGAGTGACGTCACCGGTTTGAGGAAGGACGTCAAAACCAGGTGAGCCACCTGCAAAAGAACCTAGGACAGGTGGCGGAGGTGGTTAATGTCGACATCACTCCCAGTCGAACTCATGACCACCCCTTTACCACATAAATCATGGCGCCACCTCTCCCAGACAAATACAGGTCCCCGTCGATCCCACCATATGACGGCAGAGAGGATCCCGGCGACCACCTAGAGATGTATACGGGACACATGCTTCTGTATGGATATGCAGAGGAAATAATGTGCCGAGCGTTCCGGAACCACTTAACGGATTCTGCCCAGAGATGATTCAGGACACTCAAGCCAGATTCCATCTCCAGCTAGGAGGAGTTGAAGGAAGATTTCTCCCTCCAGTTCATTGGGGAAAAACGTATATCCCGCTGAAGTAAAATCTGATGACGGTGTACCAAAAACTGAATGAGTCATTAAAAGAATGACTAGCGAGGTACGGAGAAGCCGTCACCGCCACAACGGATATGACCGACAGGGAGGCTCTGATGGGGGCTTTGTCCAGCATGAAAAAGATCACGCCGTTCAAGCGAGATCTAAACCGACATAAAAGAAATCTACTGTAAGCCCAAGCAAAGTAAACACATCAAAATGGATAGGGGGAACAAGGAATGCTTACCAGAAAATCAAGAGCGAGAGGGATGCGAGAACACTGAGGTGAATATCGCCAAAGATTCGTGAGTTGGCAAGAAGAGAGTGAACGATCCTAGAGAAGTTTTTGCAGAGTTTCGACTGTTTCGAAATGGTTCAGACAAACACGAAGAGACTATTTATAGGAACCGAAGGCCTTCGGCCCCCAGTCGTCCAATCAGGTGTGTATGCATCCAACGGTGGAAGCAAAGGAATTCGATCCGACGGTTGGGGAAAGGACGAGAAGTTACAGAGACACGATCCAACGGTCCAAATTCGTCCGTTTAAACGAAAGACCACGTCAGCATGGTGATTAAACTGACACGACGTTTGCACTTCTCAAGGGAGTTCCTCCAAATCCATCATTGCAACAGAGGCTCGGAGTTAGGCTCCCACACCCGAAGCAGACAAAAAGCGCTGGAGCGGATCCCAACCTAGCTCGAGGCAATCTAAAAAAAGGCCTCAACCCGGGGGGCAATTGTTGTGTGGGAAAATATGCGCTGACACGTCAGACAATGGCCATGCCCCACGTGGTCCTATGATAGCTACGTCAGATAGTTGTTGACGCCTGGAAACTCATCTCCCCTCCATCTGACGAAGAGGCTGACCGTAAGGGGCGATTCATAGGGGCGTCGACCCAAAGTACGGTCGACCGAGATAGAGGCCACACCCTGATAGGGAGTGTAGGCGCTCAGGGAAGAACAAAGGCAAATGAGTCCACATCCCAAGTTAAACCTTGTAGGTAACAAGCTGGAGATCTCAAGGTTGCGTCTAGATTGGGAGAAGGTCAGTAGCACATGGAATGATTACAAGCTCCTAAACCGCCTGGAACGGACCAATGGAGATCACCAAGGATCTGCAGAGCCGTAATATGGGACAAATTGGATGAGTGAACAGTCCAAAATGTGCTAAAAAGGCTACGGTCTAAGCAGGTAGAATAATATGCTACTTAAAAAAAAAATCATTAAACCCTATGTGACAGTCCATCCTGAAGAGACCCACATATAAAATATGTTGAATTAATAAGTTAACAAACGTGAAGTGATTTATACGCATAAAAAGACTGAAGAACTAATAAGTTAATTTTTTTGAGTAAGTTAGACTCTTAAAATATGTTGAATTAATTTTGCATGCAATGATTAAGTTGGCTTTTGAGAAGGTTGATTAGGGAAGAGGTCAACAGGTTGTTCATTGGTGACCACGTGCTGATAGGCATTAATTTCAAAATGCTGAAAACAAATGAGAAGAGAAGATGAATTAAATGCTAGTCATAATTTTTAAGATTTAGAAAAAAAAAAAAAAGTTCGATACCATTGAGTTGCTTGATCTGGCTTTGATTTTGAGGGTACTACACATTGCCTTTATAGGAGGTTTTTTCTGTTTTGGAGGGTTTGCACAAATCTTGTGATTGTATCCAAACTCACTACAGTTAAAACATTTTTTTTTTTGGTTAAGAAAACAAATTAAAACATCTCTTCAAGCTTAATTGAACTTTTCCTTTAGGCTTAGGCCTATCGGGATCTCTCCTCTTTTGTAAAGAAGTTCTTCCACGTAGTTTCTCCTCTCCCGTGGAGAATGAAAAATGAAGAGGCATATTACTTGCTCCCATCCTTTCTGCCTCTCAAAAAAGCGGAGATTTTTTTTTTTTTTGTTCCTTTGGGTGTTTGGTTGTAGTTATACCAATATCCCCATCCCTGATTTCTAAGGGTATATTTGTCTTCTTAAATGATTTAGTTGACTAAAAATAAAATGAGGGGATACTTTTTGTATTTTCTCATCTAATTGGTGTTGAATTTAAAAAAAAAAAAGATAATTGAGTAATTGAAAACCGTAAATTGATTGTTTGTAAAATTACTCTGAGAGGAAATCAGTCTCATTTCAAGGCTGACAAGTAATTATATACATTTCATGAAAATGATTATTATCATTTGCGCCCTTTAAACTTTCAGATCATTTTATTTTGCCCCTTAAATTTTAGATTAATCTAACTTAAGTCTTTATGTAAGAACTTCTATTAAAATCAAATTTAAAAGAAAAAAAAAAGTTAAGTGTGGTCATATAATTTTTATCTATTTATTTTTAACAGATATTCAATTAAAAAGACTATGTGATTATATTACTTTCCTTTTTCTTTATATTTTTTAACAGAAATTCCAATATAAATGGTTAAATAAGAACAATTAAAAATTTAAAGTGTAAAGTAAAAATTTTAAAATTCGGAAGTAAATTAAGAATGATTTTAAAATTTAAGAGGCATTAATGATAATAATCTCCATAAAATTTTTTTTTGAAAAAAATCAATGAATTGCCACGGCATAGATCATAATCCTTAATAATTTTACATTTTTTTTTTGTCGTCTAGGTATATAAATTTGTGTACATCTGAAATATACATTAGTTCTTCGACATTAAACGAGAATCTGTTATAATATTTGAAAAGTAATCCCAACGATAATAAACAATTATTTCAAATGAACTTTAACATGGAAAGAACGCTAATAAATTTACCTGAGAACAATCTAATAAAATAAAAATTCAATATGATATATATCATACCTAACTCACAGCAAGAAAACAAGAAAGCTAACCTAAAATGGGATCATCACAATCACAACACTAGTTACCTTCATTTTAATTTTTAGCTAAAAAGGAAATATAACCCTTTCAACTAATAATTTATTTAAAGTGTGATTCATAAAAATCTATTAACACATGCAAGAAAGAACCTAGAATTTATTTATAGATCATAAAAATAAGAAATTAAAAAAAATGCAACAAAGAAACAAGAATGTATAGATGACGTCGAGGAGGGACTGACTGATAATATACCCACTAACTATAGGTGACGCTTTTTATCTTGATCACAATATTCGTGAAAATTAATTGCTACTTTTTTCCGTCTCACTCGAATTATTAATTTTTTAAAAAAAAGAAAAATTAAAACAAAAAAGAGAGACATAAAAGGAAGAACTTTAAAGCTAGACAACGACAGTCAATAGCCTCGTCGTTTTAGGCCCATTTGATTCGAATGGACGTAGGTTTCGGTCTCGTTTATTTCATTAATTTAAATTTTAAATTTTAAATTTTTATAGTTAAAAATTTTTAAAAAATATCACATTTAATTTTTTTTGTTACAGTTAAATTTTTTTTAAAAATATCACATCTTAATTTAAATTAAAAATTCAAATTCACAAAAATATCTTTATATTTAAAAAAAACAAATATCTCTTTATTTAAATTTTAAAATTTTATTTTTAATTAATAAAAATTCATGCTCATACATTTTAAAAATAGATATAACAAATTTTTTTTTTTTTTTTTATAATAATTTTCGCACATAACATCATAAAAAAAGCACTACGAACAATTATAGAGTTTTCTGTAAGAATTAAAAAAAAAGTGAATTATTAATAATTTTTTATTTTTAACTGTTAAATTTTTTTATTAAGTTTATTTTGTATAATTTTTTAATTTAATGTAATTTTAATCTAATTTAATAATAAAAAATTAATACTAATTAGCCGGCTAGGAAACTCCCGGAACAATTATTACAAATAAATAAAAAAGACACGGGAGTGAATGCTGAAGATCTTTGTTGATATACAGTATTTTTAGCAGAGAAGAGAAGAAGGGAGGAATCTATGCCCACCATATGTTTGTAAAATTGTTCCACACAACACAACACAAACAGAACAGAACAGACCCCAACAAAAGAAAAGACTTGACCCCACCACCCTTTCTCCGCATAATACAACGCCAAGAAAGTCTTTCCATCAATTACCCACTGATCTGCAACTCCACTCTAAATCCACCATCAGCCAACGACGACGACGACGACAACAACAACAACAATCATCTCTCTCTCTCTCTCTCTCTCTCTTCTTCTTGTCTTGGCCACTTCCAACTCGCCAATGGAATGAATTGTTTATTTCAAAAGTTGCTGAAGTAAACCCCTCTCACCATTTTCCTTATTTATTTATTCACTTTTAATCCTCTTCCCTCCCAAACCCCCCTTTCCTTTCCTAACCGCCATTCTTTTTCCCTCCTTCTCTCATTGATATACATATATATATATATATAATATATGTATATATAATAATATATAGACACACACACACACATAGGGGAGATATAATATATGCTCGCCGGCGATGCCGACGCCGGTAAGCGCAGCGAGGCAATGCTTAACGGAAGAGGCGGCACGAGCACTGGACGACGCGGTGGCGGTGGCGCGTCGCCGGGGCCACGCACAGACGACTTCTCTCCATGCCGTCTCGGCCTTGCTGGCCCTACCCTCCTCCGCCCTCCGCGACGCCTGCGCACGAGCCCGCAGCAGCGCGTACGCCCCACGACTCCAGTTCCGAGCGCTGGAGCTCTCCGTCGGTGTTTCTCTCGACCGCCTCCCGTCGTCCAAGACGGTGGACGAGCCTCCGGTCTCAAACTCTCTCATGGCTGCCATTAAGCGCTCCCAGGCTAACCAGAGGCGCCACCCGGGAAGCTTCCACTTCCACCAGATTCACGCTCAGCAGAACCTCAACGCCGCCGTCGCCGCCAACCAAACGGCGCCGGTTTTGCGCGTCGAGATGAAGCACTTCGTGCTGTCGATCCTCGATGACCCGATCGTCAGCCGCGTCTTTGGCGAGGCCGGATTCCGGAGCTGCGACATCAAGCTCGCGATCCTCCATCCCCCTGTGAGGCAGGTCTCGCCCTTCGCTAGGGCTCGGTGTCCGCCCGTCTTCTTCTTCAATCCCGCGGACTCCGATTCGACGGCGAGGCGAAGCAGCGGCGGTCTCGGCTTCAGCTTCCCTTTCTCGCGGCACGACGACGGGGACGAGAATTCCAGAAGGATCGGAGAGGTTCTGGCCAGGAACCCTCTCCTTATTGGCGTCTGCGCGAGCGAGGCTCTCAAGAGCTTCACCGAGGGTTTGCAGAGCGGGAAAGCTGGTCTCTTGCCCTCCGAAATCTCCGGTCTGAGCGTGGCTCATATCGAGAAAGATGTCTCCGAGTTCGTCGTCAAAGGCGGAAGTGAAGAGCAGTTGGATTCGAGGTTTAAGGAGGTGAGCCGCGTGGTGGAGCAATCCTCGGGAAGTGGTGTTGTGTTGAACTTTGGGGAGCTGAAGAGCTGGGTTGGCAATGGGGTCTTGGGCGATCGGGTGAGCTCTGTTGTTTCCAAGTTGAAGAGCTTGTTGGAGCTTCATAGTGGGAAGCTATGGTTGATTGGAGCAGCTGGAAGTGACGATGTGTATATGAAGTTTTTGGGTCCGTTTCCGAGCATAGAGAAAGACTGGGATTTGCATCTTCTCCCCATTACGTCTTCCAAGTCTTCAACAGAAGGAATTTACTCTAAATCCAGGTGGGTAGTTGTAAAAGTGTTAGTATTTTTCTTCTCGATTATCTTTCACTTGTTAGTACGGGAATGAATATATGCTTGGCTAATGTTAGTATTTTTGTTCTCGATTATCTTAAACATGCATGAGTGAAAGTTTTTGCTGAGTAAAGGAGAGGACAGAATGTGACAACTTGGAAGTTTATTGATCCATTTTGCTAAACTTCGTGATTAGCAACTGACCTATGATAATAGGATTTAGAACTTGCATTCAATGATGACGAAATTTCTGCACCCGTGTCATCTAGCATTTGGTGGAATTATATTATAATAATTAGTTTTCATATTGTTTACTTTATATGTGTACTAAGAATCAAGTACAGTTTCTTGTTTTTTATGTAATGTTGCTTTCCTTGTAGACAATGTTTTATCTGTGACCATTAGCTAATTTTTCAAGCTGGGGGGCTTCATCAATGCTATTCTTTGTTCTTTGTCGGTCCAAATGCATGTTTCGTTCCCCAAATGCCTTTATTTATGTGCTGCTTGTTTGGCTTTACGATTGTGGAGCACTAACTTTGACTGCACCTGCAGTTAAGCTATAGACATATTTGTAACGATATATTGCCATTCTGATGCACATTTTTTCTAGTTATAATTATATGATTGGCCAGAAGTAGAAATTAACGACTAAATAGGTGGAGTTTGTATGTTTAGTTATTTTTAACTATATTTAGGTCACATACTACACGTTGGAACACTTAAGAGCCTGGGCCTTAAAACTTCTGTATCTATACTTGCATATGTACATGTCTAGGTGCTAGATGCATGTATGTCTCAAGACATACACTTAAGTCTGACTGTGTTGTCTCCGTTGAATCTCACAGTTCCATGCTCATGATATACTTACAGCTTGATGGGGTCCTTTGTTCCCTTTGGTGGTTTCTGCCCTACACCATCTGAACTCAAAAATCCATTTAGCAGCACAAATCAGTGTTTTACTCGTTGTCATGCCTGCACTGAAAAATATGAGCAGGAAGTTGCTTCTATTCTGAAGGCAGGATCGGCTCTTTCCATAGCTAGTCCATACTCGGAGAATTTCCCTTCTTTGCTAATGACTGAACTTGACACAGGCAAGGGAGTGGATGCAACGAAGGTGTGTTATCCCTTTGAAATTTTGATTCTTTGGAGCAACTTTGTACACATCCGGCACTGAATTCATTAATCACATTTTCAGTAATCTGAAATTAATCATTTTTCTTCATTTGATCCAATTTATGTTAGAACGTGCTTCTTAATTCAGTGCAGACCAAAGATGGTGGAACAGCATTGAACACTAGAATATTGGGATTGCAAAGGAAATGGAATGAAATTTGTCAACGCCTTCGTCACACCCAGTCATGCCATAAACTAGACATTTTCCAGGCAGGGAGCAAAGTTGCATCTGCAGAGGGCATTCAAGTTGTTGCACATACGAAAGAAAGTAGCCGTGAAGATTCATATCTAAATGATACGCAATCGTATTCCGGCACAGCATCAAACTTTCAAAAGAATTTTCCATCAAACGAGAGCAGTTTTATGGCAATGGCTGCTAGTCCTTCTGAGAAATTGGTAAAAGTCTCGGAGAGTCGCCAAATTGAGAAAGGGAAGCCTTGCCTTTCTCCTCATCATGTGCACAATATAGATCCTCCACCTGACCGGATATCATCTTCATCAATGGCTCCTGTGACCACAGATTTGGGATTGGGAACAATATATGCATCAAGCAGTAAGGAACCACAGTATATGAAATTGCAAGATCATAAAGTAGGCCCAGAACGCTTGCCTGGTACTTACTCTTCCGAGATAAATGCAAGAACTGCTAATACTTCACACCAAATCATCCAATCCTCTTCCCGTACTACCCCGGACTTCAAGGGTCAGTTTGATCCTAGAGATTTTAAATCACTACAGAGAGCTCTAATTGGAAAAGTTGGCTGGCAAGAGGAAGCTATATCTGCTATTAGTCAAGTTATAAGCTATAGCAGATCCAGTGGTGGAAGACATCGTCGCTCGAGTCTCAGAGGAGATATTTGGCTTACATTCCTCGGACCGGACAAAGTAGGAAAGAAGAGAATTGCTTTAGCACTTGCTGAAATATTGTATGGCTCCAGGAAAAGCCTAATCTCTGTTGATTTGGGCTCCCAGTATAGATATTGCGAAACAAACTCGATTTTTGACCATGAAGAAGTAGATGATTATGATTTGAAGTTTAGGGGAAAGACGGTTGTTGATTATCTTGCTGGGGAATTAAGCAGGAAACCCCATTCAGTTGTCTTTCTTGAAAACGTAGACAAGGCTGATCTGCCAGCCCAGATTAGCTTGTCCCAGGCCATTAGAACAGGCAAGTTTCCGGACTCTCGAGGAAGAGAAATCAGCATTAATGATATTTTATTTGTGGCGGCCACAACCATCATGAAGGTTAAGACATCTCATCATCAAGAGAAAGTTTCTGTTAGTTTTTCTGAGGAGGCGATACTGGCAGCTAAGAGACGTCAAATGCAAATATTATTTGGATCTGTCGCTAGCAATGCTAGCCACAAGCAGGGCATGAATGTGAGAGTTACACACAATGAAGGCACGTCAAACCTGTCGTCTATACATAAAAGAAAGCTGATTGACAGCAGTGACTCCGCAGAGAAATGCCTCGAGTCAAAAGAACGTGCCCAGAAGGCATCAAGATCTTATCTAGACCTCAATGTGCCTGTTGAGGAGATCGAAGGAGAATGCATTGATGGTGAGGAGTATGACAGCGACTCCATCTCTGAAAGCTCGGAAGCTTGGTTGGAAGATTTTCTCAATCAGGTGGATGAAAAAGTTGTTTTGAAGCCGTTTGACTTTGATGCGCTTTCGGCTAAAATAATAGAGGAGATCAACGAAAATGTGAAGAAAATGTTGGGACCTGAAGTTATGCTAGAGATTGATTACAAAGCCGTGGTACAGATACTCGCGGCTGCTTGGTTGTCGGAAGAGAAAAAAGCTATGGAGGATTGGGTTGAACAGGTTCTATGTAAAAGTTTCGCGGAAGCCCATAAGAAGTATAAAGATGTTAGTTCTCGTTATGTTATTAGACTGGTGGTTTCTGAACAACTTGCTGCAAGAGAGCAAACTTCTTGTGTCTGTCTTCCCACTAGAATTAATCTGAACTAATTTTTTTTTTTTTTTGTTCAACCCTTGCTTTTTGTAACTACGTGTATAATGTAGCTTTTAGCATATAGTTTGGGCATTTGCGAAGGCCTTGTTTCGATGATCGATCAACAAAATTTTTTGCATAACCATTTTGTGCTGTATTTATTCCGATACTGGAATGTATATATAATTGTCCAGTGGAAGGCCAATGTTGGACTTGGACGTCTCGTGTATGTTTGTCCAACACAGAAGGCTGTAAAAGTTGAAGAAAAAGATGGAATGGACACGAGGAAATTGACTAGGATATTGTGATAAGTAATTTATGGTTCTTCATATTTTCATAATTGTCAAACAAGTTGAATTTCTAAATGACGGCAGATAGTGCTGTAGTTATTAAGGGAGACCTTTTTTTTTTTCTTTTTTTTTCCTTTTTTTTTTTTCCTTTTTGTGTGTGTGTGTGTGTGGAACAGAATTCAACAGATGGTGTGGAGTAATCATAGACCCCAGACAAGACAAATGATTCTCAGAAGTTACAACTCAAACCATCCTTTTGTTTCTATTTTAGGTATTTTTTAGGGAGTTTCTATTCTTATTATTGCATCAAACTTTTCTCTATTTTATTATTTTAAAAAAGTCTACTGTGATATTCTCTTATAAGATTTGTGCTCTCACTTTAGAATATATATTAATTAATGAGTAAAACATAAGAAAACGGCTCAAAACTTGACAAGAAAATTTGATTATCTATTCCATCACTATTTACGGATTCAATTTGGACTACGTAATTTCTTTTTTTTTTTTTTTTTTTTTTTTTTTTTTGGGTTGGGGGGATAGACAAGGCACACAATGGAAATTAGGCCAAATATACCTCTATTTGAGAAAATTAAGCCGAGTATCAACAATAAAGGATGGTTTTTGTTTGAGAAACTTATAGATTCTACCCTCTTAAGTACTAGATTTATTAAAAATATCCTTTTAAAAAATTTTACTTATTGACTAGTTCTAGGCTAAAAGATAGAAATATATGGGCTCATATTAAAAGTCAGAAATTAAAGAGACTTCATTTCAAGGTATATTTATAAAAATTGCCCTTTTGGTCTCATGCTACTTTCATGAGTTACAAAGTCTATAATCTACATCGCTCCTATTTTAATATGTTTCATTAAGTAAACCAACTATCCATATTTGAGTACAACAGTGGTTTAAATGAACAGGAAAAATAAATCTGACAAGTAAATTAAAATAAACCACTAGTCTACTTTTGAGTGAACTAATGGGTTAAAAGAAAACTTCTCCACATTAACCTAGAATCAAAGTAAGCCATTAGTCTACTTTTGAGAAAACTAGTGGTTTAAAGGGAACAAAGACAAGAATTTCTCCCACAAATATATAATTAAAGTAAGCCATTATTCTGCTTTTTATGCCTCGTTCACTTTGTGGATTCGAGTTGAGATGTGACATTTTCTGAGAGCTTTTCACTGTAGTAGAAAAAGTTAGATGTGACATTTTCTGAAAGCTTTTTACTGTAGAAACTTAAAACTGAAAACTCGAATCAGTAAAATGAATGAGGCTTTAGTAAACTAATCGTTTAAAGAAATTTCTCCATACAAAGATTTCATCAGGAAGACTCGCGGTGTCTTTAGTGACATGGTGGGTTGAGATCAGACAACGACGTCGTAGAAAGGAGTTGACAAGAGAGGCGTGATGTGACTACTCTGTGGCTCGCTGCATTTAGAATTAGGACTCGTTCGATTTGTAGATTCAAGATTTTAATTCGAGTTGAGATGTGATATTTTTTGAGAGTTTTTAACTATAATAAAAAAAGTTAGATGTGACATTTTCTGAAAACTTTTAACTGTAAAAACTTAAAACTGAAAACTCAAATTAGTAAAATAAACAAGACCTTAAGACCCCACCTGGAAGGCCGAGCTTAATTAAAGGTTTTTTTTTTAGATGGGAATTGCATTTCAACCAGATTTACAGACTACACATAAAGGCTACTGGGGAGACCACTTCCGTTCTTACCGGAGTAAAAACAAAACAAAACAAAAAACTACACCAAATAGGCGAATACAACAACGCCATTATTGAAAAACACAAAAATGCTTTGAAGCAGGTGAAAGGCCTCGACCTCACGAGGAAACCCATCGACGACCCACCGACCACCACGGTAGAGGCAAAGAGTAGAACTGCAAAAGGGCGGAATCATCATAGTGGAAGAGACGCAACGCCGACGTATAGAAACCACACACAAACGCCACCGTCCCCAAGCCCAACACGACCATTGGAATAAGCGCTGCAACACCAGTAGAGAGACCCCTGCACCACAAGCCACCCGAAAGCCACACACTGGTGGGAGCGGCCAAACCTCCGCCACTAGATCCGAGCAGACCATCATGCACACCACACCCACACAACTCAACATCAACGTAGCAGTACCTCCACAGCGCTGACGCGCCAATAGGAGGCATCCAAACCTTTGACGGCACCACACCACCACATTAAAATTCCTTCTCCACCACCGCGAGTAAGAGGCAATCACCACCTGAGTCACCGTTGAGAGACGCGGAGCACCATCTTTAGGGTCGGAGGTCCGAAGGCCAGACTCCTGCCCAAATGGAGCAGCGCACACAAGAAAAGTTCAAAACCCTAATATGCTAGGGAGAGAAAGAAAGAGTCGATAGTTTGGTTAATTGTTTTTAATTAACAACCTAAATAAAAAATGTTTAGCACTTAATATTTTTACTAATTAATTTAAATATGGTAAATGTTGATTGTTTTTAAATAGAATGTATTTTTATAATAACTCGTGATTACAATTATTTAATTATGTGATTTTATAAAAATGTGCAGAAAAGAGTTAACAGTCATCGGAAGAAAAGATGATCATTGTGTTTGTTCCAAACGGTATTTTAAGGCCTCGTTCGCTTCGCGGATTCGAGTTTTCAATTCGGGTTGAGATGTGACATTTTCTGAAAGCATTTAACTATATTAATTAAAGTTAGATGTGACATTTTTTTAGAGCTTTTAACTATACAAACTTAAAATTGAACACTCAAATTAGTAAAATGAACGAGGCCTAAATATGAAAATGGATAATTTAATTATATTTTACACTATGAGAATTATTATAAAAGTTTTTTTATGAACTTATTTGTAAAAGATTTATATTTTTAACGTCATAGTGTGAACGTTTTATAATTTTTAAAACTTGATTTGGTATTGTCTTTTTGTGGTGCTTACACTTACCCCTTAAGTGTTAGTTTGGGGTGGTTGTGTTTTTAATAGAAGCACTACTTTTATTTAAAGTAAAAACATAAGTAGAAATTAAATTTAAAAGTTACACATTTTAATTTTTTAAAATAACTTAAAAAGTGTATTAATTTATGTGCAAAGTGTTTTTGTGCACTTTTATCAAATACTGAGCCGGTTTGGTAGTAGATTTTAAAAAAATTTGTGTTGAAAAAAAAAACTATTACAAAAAGTAGCTGAATGTATGATAAATTGTAATTATACAAGTATTAATTTCAGGAGTATTATAAGTATTATGAAAGTTTTATTAATTGCACTCTAAGGTGATTGCCGCACAATTTAAAAAAAATCACCTTTGAGTTATTTTTTATTTTGACTGTAAATTATTTAAAAATTCTTTAAGTATCACTTTTTATAATTTTTATCAAACACAAATTTCAAATATAGATGACTAAAAAATTAATTTTAGATTTTAAAAATCACTATAAAATATACCCAATATAATTACATCGTTTATTGTACAAAGTGCTTTTTGAGAATTTAAAAAACAATCCTAAACACACCTTCGTTAAGTTGTCAAAAATATTATACAAATCACATTTCACTCTTCCCTTCATCTCTCATAAGTTTCTTGCTCGACTCTCAAGCCCTTTCTCAAACTAAATGTTTGGTGGAGGGATTCGTTCCCTGATTCGAATTATGATTCGTGGTTCGCTACAGTATTTTCTCTCACAAAAAATTCACGTAGATCGAAAATAGTTCAAATCACATGGTTTGAATCCTCCAACTAAACGTCAACTCTTATTTTTCATCAAATCCTCCTCAACAACTCTTCACACTTCAAAATCATAGATAACCCAGACCTATTAGCCTTCTAAAATCCCAAAAGAATGTAGAAACAAGCTTGCATTGAAACCTCATTTTCGGATTTCACTAAAGAACTATTTTTTTACATGCAAATTTGAGCTCAAAGTGAGGTTTTTCTACATTTTTGGAGTACGAATCTTATAATATACCAAAGGTGAGTTTAAATCAACGTTTTTAGTGACTTTTTAGCTTATTTGAAGCTGGAAGTATGGTGCTTTTCGGTTGGTGCTTTATTTACAAATTTGAGTTGCATGTATGTTCTTGAAAGTGAGTGTTTTGACATTTTTATGACGAAAATCGAACATACAGTTGTTGCTTCTACCTTATTATTGTGTATAATTGTTATTTGGGGCAGATTAGAGTGAATTTTATGCTGTTTTTATGTTTTTTATTGAGTTGCATGCAAGATGTTTGTGAAAATGCCTAGATGAATTTTTTGAAATTTTAATAGCAGGCAGTGTACATTACGGGTCTGTTTTCTCAATTTATAGTTTGAATTTGAAGCTGAAATTTTGTGGAGTTAAAGTAGACATATCGGAGTTATAGTAGACATATCAGGCTTACTCTCTACAAAATTTCGTCCAAACATGTTTTAAAATGAATTTTTGGTGAAGTTTTAAAGTGTACTGTTACGGAAATTTTCATGGACAACAACTATGTAAGGACTTAGATTATGATAAAACCTATTTTAGAAGAACTTTAAATGATTTAAACTTTTTAGCATGATGCTATAATGTATATAACAATTCTGCGATGATTTTGATTAGTTAGAAATGTTTTTAGACATGTTTTAAATTAGTAACTTATCTTGAATTTGTACGTAAACTTGTAAAGTATGAATTTTGAGAAAGAAACTGAAAATGTAAAAATGATTTAAAGGAGCATTAGGCTAAGCAAGATCAAGTCTTCTCAACGGTGGACTTCACCCTTCTGTAACTGTTCAATTTCAGAAAAAGTAAGTAGGAATGAGGTTTTAAAAGGCGGAATCCGGCATTGAAGCGTTATGCCTAAAGGGCCTTGAGGTGTAAGTCCCAAAAAATTCCAATAAAAAAATGTAGAAAAAAAAATAATAGTAATGA